TGTGTCAGGGTTGTATCCTTTCCCCATACTTATTCACTCTGTATGCCGAGCAAGTAATCCAAGAAGATGGACTATATGAACAAGAACGTGGCATCAAGATTGGAGGAAGAATCATTAACAACCTGCGATATGCTGACGACACAACTTTGCTTGCTGAAAGTGAGGATGACTTGAGGCACTTACTGATGAAGACTGAAGAATACAGTCTGCAGTATGGATTACATCTCAATAAAAAGAAAACAAAAATCCTCACAACTGTACCTATAAGCAGCATCACGATTAATGGAGAAAAGATTGAAGTTGTCAAAGACTTCCCATTGTTTGGTTCTACAATTGATGCCAATGGAAGCAGCAGTCAGGACATTAGATGACATATAACACTGGGCAAGTTGGCTGCAATGGACCTCTTTCAAGTGCTGAGGAGCAAGGATGTCTCCTTAAGGACTAAGGTGCACCTGACACAGGCCATGATATTCTCAATTGCCTCGTATGCATGTTGGGGCTCTGGTTGTGTAGTGCCTAAGGCCCTTGACTGCTAACCAGAAGGCTGGCTGTTCAAACCCACCAGCCACTCCTCGGAAGGAAGGTTGGGCAATCTACTTCTGTAGAAAACCCAAGCAGGGGTTGTATGAGTCAGGTCCAACTTGATGGCACATAACAACAACAACAACGTATGCATGTGAGAGCTGGAGAATAAGGAAGACCAAAGAAGAATTGATGCTTTTGAGTTGTGGTGCTGGCAAAGAATGCTTTAAATACTGTGCACTGCTAAAAGAACTAACAGATCTGTCCTGGACGAAGTGCAGCCGAAATGCTCCTTGGAAGCGAGAATGGCCAGACTTTGTCTCACCTACTTTGGTCATGTTGTCAGAGGGGACCATTCCCCAATGTCATGCTTGGTAAGGTGGAGGGTCGATGAAATAGGGGAAGGCCCTCAACGAGATGGATTGACACAGTGGCTGCGACGATGGGCTCAAGTACATCAGGGATCGTGGAGCTGGCACGAGACTGGGCAGTGTTTCATTCTGTTGTGTGTAGGGTCGCTGTGAGTTGGACATGACTCAACAGCACTTAACAGTAACAATGAGAAGCAAAGGGTGCTGCTTTTACCCTCTGCAACCCAAGACAGATAGAGGGAGAAACTGAAGACTTGTAAGAGTTGATCTCAGACTCTAATGTTAATTCCAAAAACAGAATATAAAGTAAAAGTACAATATTTGCAAAGAGAAACACAGGTATCTACTATCTTGCGATTTGTATTTACATCCCAGAGAACAGTCAATGAGGACCGCAAGGCTGGCTCTCAGTATTCTTGTCTTCACTGAGAAACATTTAAGGAAGTGTCTGACCTCCTGGGAAATATGAAATGAAGTCATCACTGTCTGTCCTAAGATCAACTACTTGCAGTCAAGTGGATTGCAATTCACGGCTACCCCATGTGTGTCAGAGTAGAACTGTACTCTACAGGGTTTTCAGTGCTGATTTGTCAGAAGTAGATTGCCAGGCCTTTCAATTCTGAGGTGCTTCTGGGTGAACACAAACCTTCATCCTTTGAGTTAGCTGAGTGAGTTAACCATTCGCACCACCCAGGGGGACTCCTGTCCCAAGCTTAAGGATTTTTTTTTTTTTTAAATCACCTGACTTTCTTAGATGGCTATATTAAAAAAAAAAAAAAAAATCACTGCTGTCAAGTTGTTTCCAACTCATAGCTATATACTCTGCATTATTCCACAACAGGTACTTCAGTTAACACTTCCCCAAAGAGTCACAATTTATTCCATAGCCCTCAGAGAGGGCAGTGATTGTTCATCTTCCATGCAGGAAACCTGGGTTGGATTCCCAGCCAATGCACCTAATGTATAGATAGCCACAGCTCTTCTGTCATTGGAAGCTTGCATATTGCTATGGTGCTGAACAGGTTTCAGCAGAGCTTCCATACTAAGACCAGGAAGAAAAGCTTGGCAATCTACTGATTTTGTTTTTCTAAAAAAAATTTATTGTGATTTGGGTGAAAGTTTACAGAGCAAATTCACTTTCCATACAACACATCACACACATTTTGTCTCATGACATTGATGGCAATTTCCCATAATGCAACAGCTCCCCTCCCACTTGTTCCCCATTGTTACCTTTACCCTGTGTCCTTCCCTTCCATTCATTCCTGCTTCCTGAGCTGTCTCCCTGTGCATACACTGCCCTGCTAATCTCCCATGATTGATGTCTCCAAGGAGTGTATCTGCCTAATGTAAATATTCAGCTCATATGCCTGTCTTTTGTTTGGCTGGAAGCTACAGGAGTGGGTTCATTTCCAGACCTGAAGGGCATCTAGGGGCTATAGTCTTAGTGGTTCCATCAGGCTCTATCAGACCAGCAAACCAGATC